ATGGATGGATGGATGGATGGATGGATGGATGGATGGATGGATGGATGTTTATAAAGTTTCTAGGCCTCCAGATGGAACATAAAGGTTGTAGCCAGAACAGAACTAGCTTCTCTGTAGACTGGTTCCAGTAAAAGTTTTAAGTGCCCGTCCCATCCCCCTCCATGTAAATGAATTAATTCATTCAACCTTTATTTAGACAGGTAAATCCCATTGAGCCTCAAGGACTCATTTACAAGAGAGACCTGATTTCAACAAAGAATTATGACAACAATGGACATACTTTCCCTTAGTAAAATAGTAAAGACATTAGATATATTTTTCTAGGTGTTAACTCTTGTTGAATGTCATGGTTCTTATTTTATTCTTGTTAGTGCAAACACTTTTTTTCTGAATTTGTTTATCTGTAATTGTGTGAATGTTTATGAAGCATTCACACTATTGTGATTCATTTTTCTTCCGTACAATTTTCGGCGCGATTCTTTTCATGCAGTTTTCAAGCCATTTTAACAAATCATATATCAAAACGTTCAGCTCTTTCAGGACAATCCTGCTTTGACTTTTGGCATTGGTGCAACTTTAGCCTTTTCTGACTTTTTTCCTCACATAAAATGAATTGTGCTCATTTTACTTCCTTCAAATCTTCAGATCAGTTTACAAACTTTTATTGTTCCTTTCACATTTTGTTCTGGTTCAGCCACTTTCAGCTTCCTTATACAATTTCAAAAAAAATTTCAGCTACTTTCAACTTTTTTTTTCAGCCATTTTGTGCTCCTTTCAGATTATTTCTGCTAACTACAACTTTGTTGTGCTTCGTCTAACTTCTTCCCGCTAATTTCAGCTTGCTATGCTCCTTTCAGCTTGCTATGCTCCTTTCAGCTTATTTCTGTAAGTTTCAGCTTTTTCTACTATTTCAGCTACTATAAACTTGTTTTTATTCTGATTTAAGTCTTTTCAACTAATTCCACATCTTTTGCACTCATTTAAACTATTTTCAGTCTAATTCAGCAAACGTGCACTCTCGCCACTTTCTTCTTGTAATTTCAGCTTCTTTCTGCCTTTTTAGCTACTTTTCATCTATTTTTTTGTTGTTATTGTTGCTAATTTCAGCTTTTTCAGATAATTTTAAGTTTTTCATGGTAATTTCTGATACTTTCAGCTTACCAGTAATTAACTTATTTTTGATAATTTCAGCTTGTTATGCTCCGTTCATCTTTTTCTACTAGTTTCAGCATTTTCTACTATTTCAGCTATGTTTTAGCCGTTTTGCGCTAAATGTAGCTTTTTTTTTTTTTTCCCCCACATTTTTTAAGCAGTTCAGCTCCTTCCAATTCCTTCTGGCGTTTAAGCTTATTTATGCCTTTTCAGTAACTTCTCAGCTATCTTTTTTGCTAATTTCAGCTTTTTTTTTTTAACCTAATTTCCTAGTTTCTGTGCTCATTTTTGCTTATTTAAACCTAATTCAGTAAATATTTGTTCTTTCTGCTTTGTTCTGCTAACTTAGGTTTGCTCTTCCATTTCAGTTACTTTTAGCATGTTTTTAGCTACTTCCAGCTGTTTTTCAGCAAGTTCTTAAGCAATAAGCATTCACACTGCATTTTTGCAGGAAATGCAATTTCTCTAGTTAATTATTTATGCTTAACAGGTGGTTATGTGATATAATTATGGGCAGGGGAGTAGGTGGGACTTAAACCCTATACACTGAGTGTGCAGACTCTGGTTCCAAAAATACAGCATGGTAGCTCCCAGAAAACAATTCCTGCTGACTTCAATTCCAGGCAACAATGAACTTTGTGAAGAAAGTGGGACTGTTAATATAAACAGTCTATGAATTACACTCTCAAGTGCTCTCTTTGTTTTAGTGAGTGTGAATAAAGCTTTAAACGTTTTTAAACAGTAAGACCAAAATACTTTTTTAATTCATTCTGACCATGTTAAAATGCTTTTGCTTGATAAAAGCAAAACGTGACTAATTAAGAAATCTAACACCTCATGCAGGTGTTGAGATGTAAAAATACTAAGTGTTGGAAGGATGAGTCATAAAAATATGGTGTAAATACAAAAATGAGTATGGAAGTATTGGATTATTTTAATGTATTAATATGCTTTTCATGCATCTCCAAGATGAGCTCTGGAGCTGTTAACCCAACACTATTGTTCTCCTGGGAATCTGCTGACAACATTTACTCAAACTCCCTGAACAGGCAGCTAAGAGCAGCTTATACATGAATGATCTTTTCAAAACAGGCTGTAAAAATGAAGCTGTAGGTTACAACTAAAATACATTCTAAAAGAAAGTCAGACAGGATTTTTTTGCTGACTATAGTCTATTGAACTAGTCACTATGATGGGAAACAGGACTTGAGGTCAAATATTTATACACTGTCTCAGGTAATGGGAACAACGTTAATGACTTTATAGACAATACGCTGCAAAACTGCCCAGTGACTTGGAAACACAAAAATAAGTCAAAGCTTGTCTTTAATGTGGCCATTTACGTATTTACTTTTAGTTCATTTAATATTAATGCAATCAGAAATGGTAACATGACTATTACATGTAATAACAACTATATAATATTTAGTGGTTTATGCTGTAAATTTAACATTAATCATTTGATCTGGAACTACACTTTTTTTTTTTTTTTTTTTACAAAAAAGTGCAAATAAAACTATCGTACTCATATTCAAAACATTATACATGAGCATTTATGACCTTTGATAAAACTAATGGTAATACAAGTTGTCAGTGAACAGAAGGTTTTGTGACAGCAGCCAAAAAGCATAAACATACTTACATCACAGGCGTAGTGCACCTTGTCAACAGCATATTTCTCCTTGAAGTGCTCTTTAGAGAAAATCCTGTATAAAATATAACAGATAAAGCTAAATGTAATAAACACATGACATATTGCATTTTCTCCAAAAACAACTCCAGGTCAGATGTATAGAACCAAATTATTTGTGTCCTTTATTATACAACAGAGAAAACCTTCCATTAGAAATGCAATTGCCCAACAGGAAAAAGTCTGGACTGACACAACAGGTAGGATGAGACACTAATGAGATACTGTTTAAGATCCCAGTGTGGAAATGTGCATTTTGGTAATAAAGAAGTAGACCAGGAGTGTCAAACTCACTTACAAAAGTGGGCCAAAATTAAAACCTTTTTCAAACTAAGGGCCAGTTTCAGAATCTACATTAACTCAAGTTAGATACCCAACATCTTTTCTTGGTTGCTGTTCCTCAAAAAAAAAAAAAAAAAAAGAGTTTGATTGGTCTCATTTGATGTTATCTGTTGCACTTTTAACATCATAATCAAAGATTACTGAAAAAATTAAAGTGATAAAATTATTTTACATTTAAAATATCATCTTGGGGGCCAGATAAGATGTCAACGAGGGCCCCTGGGCCTAGAGTTTGGCACATATGATGTAGACCATCTTACAGGCAAATGATTAAGGCTAGTATGTTATCAAGACAAGCTCAGTGATTCTAAACAATATCAACAATTAAAAAAAAAAGTTTAAAGATAGATTTACTGCTTACAGATAAAAGAAAAAAATATATCGTATGATGCAGTAAACACAACAAAAGTAAAACCTTAGAGCATTTAGCAAGATAAGATTAACATCTAACACCTTAAAGTCAGTTAATCACTGAACTACAAACTCCCTCAGCTGAGCATCAGTATAACAATCATTCTACATTTGCAACCTGAACCCATCAACCTAAATGACCAGTTTTGTTTACTAGCAGCATGTCAAAGCTAACGGGATTAGCTTCTGATTTGACTTCTTTTATTTACTTGCCGGCTGGTTGTGCTTCACACCGTCTACAATCTGTGTGCATTACCAGTAGTTTCCTGCTCGCATGCTGGATTTTTATTGTCTAAAAACAGACTACTATTACATTACAGTTACACATAAACTGTGCATGTTTAAAAAGATGCAATACTCTCACCAGCGTAGAGAATAACAATAAGATGATCATGAAGATGGTCTTAATATCCAGAGTGACTGTGGATGACATCATTTAATGGATAAATGACCACCCAGGTAAAATTACTGTCTGTTAGAAAAATTATTTTAATAAAATGCTCCAAGAGATAAGGTTCAAAAGACTCAATTTGTGCAAGCGAGAGAAAACTGAGTGCACAAAATCTGGCATGGGTTTTCTAACTAGAAATAGTTCCTGCTATATTTATATGCAGCGTTCTGTAGGTAGAATTGTAAAACAAGCCTCCGTTCAGCTGGTTCTCGTCTCCCACGTACAGAAACTGGATGCTGCCTGAGAGACGATAACGACTAATGTCCACAGTGGGTTTTTGTCCTTCTTTTAACGACATATGGAAAGGGATATGAATAAGCTCCTAACATCTGCAGCTGCAAATTTTCAACAACAATCAGATTATTTGCCACCATCAGCTATTAATACGCAAGAACAAGCTTTTGATCATCCAGATCTTTAGCTGGCTTCTGCTCAAACGTAACTTCAACTCAGTTACAAGCACAAAGCCTCTGCTACCTTCTCCACAATCTGAATTTCTGTTTAAGTAAAAATATTCTCTATTACCTGCTATAGTTCTAACACAGACTCTGGCAGACGTTTCCTGAAACGAGTGCCAGAGAGTCAGAAAAGGTCCAGATAGTTTTCAATCATTTTGATTATGACATAAAAGTATGACAGAAACAGTATGGAGGTTATATATAATAAACATTATATTTTAAAAAACTGATTATAAGAACATCTGAGATTTTTTTTTTTTCTGAATAATATTAGGATTATATAAACTTGTTTGAGTCTCACAAACAAAGAGAAAAGAAAAGTTTGACATGACCAAAGTGGGCTGGGAATCAAATTCAGTGATTTTACAGGTGGTAATTTTATTTATTTATTTTCTTTTTCACCATAAAATGTTAGTGATTTGGGAATGACTTATGCACAATATACTCTGATGAACATCTTTTATCCACAAACTGGCTTTTACATTAAGTCAAAGTGAAAATATGTGACCAAATCACATTTCACTGTTAAGTAGCAGTTCCGTTAGACATCAACATGTCATTTTTATTATTTTTGCATGCAATTAATGCAACTTTTTTCAGTTATTTCCTCTTGATTGTGTGAATGAGATGACATAAACACTATGTCTACCAGTGCAGTAAAATATGCCACCAGTGTTCAGGTGATGGGCAGCACGGTGGCGCAACTGGTAGAGCTGCTGCCTCTCAGCGAGCAGGTCCTTGGTTCAAACCCCGGTCCAGGGGCCTTTCTGGGTGGAGTTTGCATGTTCTCTCCGTGCATGCGTGGGTTTTCTCCGGGTGCTCCGGTTTCCTCCCACAGACCAAAAACATGCATGTGAGGCTGATTGGTAACTCTAAATTGTCCCTAGGTGTGAGTGAGAAAGTGAATGGTTGTTTGTCTTGTTTGTCTCTGTGATGGACTTGCGACCCGTCCAGGGTGTATCCCGCCCCTCGCACAGTGATTGCTGGACATGGGCACCGGCGACCCCCGTGACCCAAAATGGAATAAGCGGGTAAAGATAATGGATGGATGGACGTTCAGGTGATGATACACAGTCTAAAAGGTAGAGGGCATGATGGTTAATTCACACCTCATATCCTTGTCCTTTAAGGATTAGTGATACTTACTCTCCCATCCAAGTGGCATAGCTTTCAGGCAGTTTAGGAACAAAAAGCATGGATTTCCCAGAATCCACATCAATGGCTCCATAACAGTCAGACTCAGTCACTCCAAAAGCCCAATGAAAGAAAGACTCCTGCACAAATGGAAGGATCAGAGAGCAGCAGAGAGGATATACACTGCTCACTTTTCTGAAGTGTTCAGACAACAATACTAACAAATAACAGAGACAAAACTGTCTAAGTTAACAACCACTCAATGGTTGTTTAGAAATTATAGATGAAGACATAACTATACAGTCAACCTACCTGTCTGAAGAGGACGTCCGTGTCTGTGCAGTACCTCTGCTTCTGCTCCCCTCCCTGAAGCACCACCACAGACTTTGGCACCAAATCTTCTTTGGCTTTCAACCCCTGACACAATCTCTGACGGTTCTCAGCGAAAAGGGCAGCCGACACTCTCAGGGTTTCATTACCCAGCCAGTAGACAGGTCTGAAAGGACAGGAAGACAAAACACCTCAGTTCAGGGTGGAGATGTGGCTGCAGTCATTTAGAGTTAAATTATATCTGAGAGCTAAAAACTGGAGCACCATAACCATTCTGACAGTGATTACTGACATCAGTTGTCCTCTTGTCTCCTGACATTCATATGCAACAATATATATATATAAAAAATTCTGTACATGTAAATATACAGAAAAAACTCACACAATAAGCATTTTTTTCACCTTTTTAAGCGTGACTTGCTTTTCATTATCTATTTTCTTTTACACTTTACAATTAGAAAATGAAAAAAAAAGCCGGAAAAAAATGACTGGGCACAAAAAGTACTACAAAAAAAATGACAGTGCAGTCATTAATTAGACGCCCTTTAGCAATTTATAACAGCTTGAATTAGTGAGCAATGGCAAAAGCTCTCAGTTCTTGTTCATTGGGATCTTTTCTTGTTCTTTTTTTAACTCTTAAAAATGCAACAAGATTCTGTCAAAATTCATAGAGCATGCAAAGTTCCTATAAAATCAATTTGTATGTTCACATATTTTAAATTATGTTTGGATCGAAGAACGGCAGGGACCATGGTAAAAACTTCATCCTGTGCCTCTTGTTTTTATCTGGATTTTCTTTATGTTGTTGAGGCAATCCCATTTTATTTTTTCTCAGCAGCAGTTATAAGACTAAGGACAATTGCTCCCAGAAATATATTCAACTTGTGTCTTCAGTGTAACATATGGCACTGGACTCTTAAATAAAATATAAGGTCAAAGCATGACAGATTCACCCTTTCACCCTTTTTTCCTAGAAGGTTATCTTTTCTTTACATTCCACACCTATTTTTGATAAGGATGAGAATTAATTTAACTTTTTCAATCCATAGAGGGATCCAGATGCTGTAAAATGATGGCAGTTGTAGTGAAGTAAAGGTTTTCTTGAAAGAACAGGTCCAAAATTATGATAATATAATAATAATAACAATATCAATAATAATGATAATAACAATAATAATAAATTGCTTAACGGACTTGCGACCCGTCCAGGGTGTACCCCGCCCCTCGCACAGTGATTGCTGGACATGGGCACCGGCGACCCCCGTGACCCAAAATGGAACAAGTGGATAAAGATAATGGATGGA